TAGTAACGTTTTTTTAAACTCCTGATGACCTATGCAAGTGTAGTGTTCGCTCACGCGGCCCGTACTAATTTGAAGCTCCTTCAAGTAATTCAATCCCGTTTTTGCAGGATAGCCGTCGCAGCACCGTGGTTCTTAAGGAATGTGAACCTCCAAGATGACCTGGAGTTTGACTCAATCAGTAAGTAAATACAGTTGGCAACAATCCGCCACTTTGAGAAGGCGGCATGACACGAAAACTCTCCTGTCGTGGCCGCCGGATATTACATACCTGATCCTGTGGACCGAATGGTAAACAGTCGACGTCGCCCTAAACGTCATTACGGATCCTCTCAATCCATTAACGGTGCTTTTAGGTACTTCAAGCAACGGTCACCGTCCTCGCCGAACCCGTCGCTTGCGACGCAGGGCTCGACGAGTAAATTAACCCATAGACACAGCCCACTGAGTTTCTCGTTGAATCTTCTCAGTAGGTCGCGTTTCCGATCCGGTGATAGATTCTGCGAAGCACTGCTCTTGCTAGGCCCAGTCAACCTCCGGTTTGAGCCCCGAGATCTGACCTACACGCTAGGGTAACGCTGATATAACCTCTCAAGGCTATCAGCATAGGTAGGAAAAAAATAATTTAAAACGTAAAGGCCTTACCTTAAACCTTAAAACATCGCGAAGATTTTTAGTCCCCCCATATTTTAAAACTAAGGGACACGGGTATCATTATATTGCTGCGCCCTGGGGTTCGGGATAAAAAAAAAACCGTAACTTCATCCTCAGTTACTGCCGCCGCTGACCTCTGGTGTTTGTTTATCCCGTAACAATTTGGTGTCAGAAGTGGCATAAATAATGCAAGTTTTGCCGAAAGACACGACAGAAGATATTGGCACCAGAGGTCAGCGGCACGATATATAGCGTTGCTCTTACCGGCATAACAATATCTTTCGGTACATTTATTCTTTCTGCCACTTAACAATATCTAGTTGTATAAATTCGTATATTAAGCTTTGTCGACGACTTGTGAATGCGAGACGTTTTTTGGAACGATTTATAACGCAGATTAAGAAACCTGGCCATACGGACGGTCGCCAGTGAGATTAACTGACCGGATCAAGCCTGCTCTGTGAGGTTCAATTAATTAATGAAGCAGGTTGACGGCAAATAGAAGATGGCAGTTGTAGAGAGTGTGACATCTGCGCCTTAAAATACTTTGTGATCCGGTCTTCCGCTATGAAAAGAGCAAAACAACTGAAAACACTTATCTGTTCAAATTTTAGTGTTTCATTCATATTCACTTAAATCAACACAATATTTTAATTGGACCACGGTTTTTGAAAATTGGGCCTTCATATCTAGTCACTAGTGCCCTCTAGTAGCCAATAGCCGCACTACAGCTATGACATATCAACAAAAATTACTACGTCATTTCATTTAGATGTTGTTTCCAGTGAAAGAAGTTAAGTATTAGATACTGTTGGCTTCAAAATCAATAACTTAATAGTAAAATGAACGTCCATAATGATACTAAAATTATTTGTATTGACAATCAAAGTTAAACTACAAGGAGTTTTAGTTAAATTAATACCAATAAGAATGGATCTTTAAATTAATACGTGAAGCAAAAACTTTGTATCCCATTTTACGAAAATTGCGCGGACGGAGGAGTATGAAATTTTCCATACTTATAGAGAATATAGAGAAGAAGTGCACAATGCTAATCTTTTTTTTAAATAATGCATAAAAGATACATTAAATCAATAAAGAAAACATTACACACACTACATACCATGTATTTGACGCACGCACACACGCATGCATACTATTTATTGTCAATCTTTGTCAATTGAGAATAGATTAAATATTGTTTGTCTTTGTTAATATTTTTTATAGTGTAGTCTTGGCGAAATTTGTGATTATAGAAATATAAAATACAATCATAATAGTGTACAAGCTTACAATTCCAATTAATTATAGTCGAATTTCGACTACTGCGGGACCTCTAGTTTAACTAAATTGGCTAATAGTATCTAATAGGTTCGGAAGTAACTGCTCTTGCTAGGGCTAGTGTTAGCAACGTCAGCAGGTTGGAGCCCCGTGAGCTCACCTACGCGCTCGGTTACGCTGGTATAACTCTTTTCTTATGATTGAGGGATTACTGGTGGATCGGAGGCCTTTCCAGTTTTACCAGGACTGATGGGCGAGCAAGGGCTCCGCCAGGAGGGGGTTATTTGTCACGTCACACGTGGGATTTGCTAACAGCTACCCGAGCGCCTCCAAACGAGACACAACAACTCAAGAGTAACTGCTTCGCGAATGAATGTACTGCCGCATCTGATTCGCGACCCGCTGAGAAGATCCGGCGAGAAACTCAGCGGGCTGATGTTAAGGTTAGGTTGCACGTTGAACTCTTTGTCGAGTTCGACGAGTACGGTTACCGGGGTCCCTAAGCCTGCTCCTAGTGTTAGTGTTAAGGGCGTCTAATGCAACGGTTAACGGATCCATCCCTCAAGGTTACCAGCCTAGCTAGGAAAAATAAACTTTGGGAATGCTTAAACGACAAAAGGAATATCTTCCACCGAGCGGGTGATATTGCTCGGTAGACCGAAGTTGGAACTTGTATATATTATGCAAGCTTATCTTGAAAATGTCGTAAGCGAGATTCAGGCATCTGTCAAATATCTTGCGTTACATGATGGCTACCGCCACAAAACTGTTAAATACAAGTCGCCATATCCCAGTATCAAAATGCTCTGCATACTAATACGTTAATCTTCAATATACGATTCATGTCATTTTGAACTCAAACGAACTCACAGCTTTCTTGATGTTAAGTTTACGTATCTCAAACGATGCCACTGTTCACTTTGAGACATAAGATTCTAAATAAGATACAGTCTCCTACGACTCCTACCCTTCAAAGTGGAATGCTAGATTGCTCTGTGGCAAAAATAAGCAGGGCGGTGACACTTTAACATTTACATACATATGTAAAATAAATAAATAAAACATTTAATAAAATGATTTATAATTCGTTAAAATTACATACATACTATAAAATTAAATTACAACCAGTTGTGTCTTAACATAATTTGTTTTTATTTACATTCATGATGTTTTATTTAGAAAATATGTGAAATCAATATGTAAAATTTAAAAGATCAACAGCCACAAATGACAATTAGCATCTGCACCATCTTCCGTAAAGCGTGTTAGATATTTTTTTTCTATAATCACTACATAGTATAAAACAAAGGCGGTTTCTCTGTCCCTATAACTGTCTGTCCCTATGTATGCTTAAATCTTTAAAACTACGCAACGGATTTTGATGCGGTTTTTTTTAATAGATAGAGTGATTGAAGAGGAACGTTTATATGTATAATAACATCCATTAAATAGTGGAGAAATCAATAATAAATTACAGTTTCCGAAGCGAAGCGAGAGCGGGTCGCTAGTGTTTATTATAAAATAAAAACAATACAAAATTCACACACAAGTAATTCGAGAATAAAATTGAAAAAATATATTAATACACAATTGCGATAGTATAATTATATCGCTGGGTCAAAGGCTATTTGGTTTAAGCGACATTTTTGCAACTTTACAGGAGAACCATTCAAAGTTTAAGCTTTGGAAAAAATATCAAAACAAGAACACTTCTTCAGCTATTTGAATGGAGTAAATTAAATTGAATTGTTGATACTAAACTAAAAATACATATAAATAACATTGGAGTGTCTGTTTGTAATATTGAAATAATCGCTTTTTACTAATGAATATATATATATATATATATATATATATTATTATGCCTTGATATGTGGACGAGCTCACAGCCCACCTGGTGTTAAGTGGTTACTGGAATCCATAGACATCTACAAACATCAATGCGCCACACACATTGAGATTTAAGTTCTAAGGTCTCAGTATAGTTACAACGGCTGCCCTACCCTTCAAACCGAAACGCATTACTGCTTCACGGCAGAAATAGGCAGGGCGATGGTACCTACCCGTGCGGACTCACAAGAGGTCCTACCTCCAGTAATTACGCAAATAATTATACGGTACATACACCAAAATAGCATTTTTTACAATTTTTGTCTGTCTGTCTGTCTGTTTATTCCGGCTAATCTCTGGAACGGCTGGACCTATTTTGACGGGACTTTCACCGACAGGTAGCTGCTGATATAAGGAGTAACTTAGGCTAGGCTTTTTTTAAGGCTAGCTAGCCCCGCCGCGTCACCCGCTGTACGACAATAACCGCTATTAATAATAAAATTTAATGTTTCCGAAGCGAAGCGAGAGCGGGTCGCTAGTAACAAATAAAACAGACCTTTAATTACAAAGAAAAATGTCGCTTGAACCAAATAACTTTTCACCTCACCTAAATTTGTGTTAAAACTATACGATTAGAAACATTGAGATTTTCAATAATCTTTAGCTTAACTATCAAATATGTTATTTCACAGGTACTTTTTACAATAAAATATAATAATTACGAAATAAAAAAATAAAAAAATTGAGTGACTTCACTGTGCTTTCTTAATGTCCATGGCCGATGGGGACTACCTACCTTCAGTAGAGTATGAGTTTTTTACTTATTTGCCTCCAGTGAAAAAATATATTTTAAATAATATTAACTTAATTATAAATTATTTTGAAATTGACATGGAAAAAGGTTGTGACAATGTTTATTCTTATTCGGAGAGCATACAATGAGTATTGAGTAGATACGTCAAAAGAGATCTAACATTACTGTAACAATTTTTTTTATTTATGTGAGCATTGTCAGTGTTGTAGAGAGCATTTTGTTCATAAACAGTGAACAATTTCATCATAAACAAAAATTGGAGCATCAGATTAGAATAAGAAAACTGTCATCCACAGTTTTTTTATTTGATCGGCTAGGCCTGTTTTTAAGCTAGTAAACATACACAAAAAAAAACAATTATAGCTATATTCTGTTAAAATAGTAAAATTATGACCACATCAAATTAAGTCTAGTTAGTAATTAATTAAAATTTTAAAATCCCAGATTTAAAATTATAGCATTACTTTAGATGAAACAAAATTGTTTCTTAAATATATCTTAATTTCTATTTATTAGTACATAATTTTAAATATTTTATATCTATATGTCATGGTTTATAAACATCATATAAGTATTTATTCGACGACCAATGGGAATTGATCAACGTCTTCACACATAGAATTAAAGGCGGCTGCCCATTCATCCGCTTCCTTTTCCTGAAAGAAACAACAAGTTTAAACATTATTTTAATCAAAACTTTATTTATAGTTAAGTGAAAGAAAAGCAATGTATTATCTGAGGTAACCACCTGTTTATTCACCTATATAGTAAAACAAGATGTACACGACCGCTTTGCTGGGCATTTAATTTTAACATTATTATTTCTCACCCCCGCAAAGATTCTCATCATTAACGCCCCCGCAACTGGTGTAGGGAGTCCAACACTCATATAAATATTAGCCTATCCATTAAGTACATGTATTTTCTACATGGATACCAAGTTTCAAGTCAATTGGATGCATGATTCAGTAGTTATAACATCATTAAAAACCACTGTAGATTTATATATTACTATAGATAAAAAGTAAAATTCATTCTGAATGCAAACATAAATTGTCTTTAAATAAAACATTGAAGGTGATCAACTGTATTTCACATGAAGTATCACCACAGAACCTGAGATCTTAGGACACATTCGACCTCTGGGTCTATATGGTCATTATGGTCATATTTAGGAGTTTTATTACTGGCTTTTGCCCGCGACTTCGTCTGCGTGGAATAGTTCACAAATAATGCTTTATTTTAGAACAAAATTTGTTAGCATATAAAACGATAAAGTGAGCCAACCTTAACGTATAGACATAATATGCTGTCACAGAACAATTCTGTCATACATTATTTTAGCGCAACTTTAACCCTTTCTGCAGCACACGCAGCGGAAGCTCTCAAAAGGGAAAAAATCCTGATTTTGAAACATTATTTATAAGTGCTCTGCTTGTATTGGTCTTAGTGTGATGTTATATAGCCTTCCTCAATAAATGGGTTATCTAACATTGAAAGAATTTTTCAAATCGGACCAGTAGTACCTGAGATTAGCGTGTTCAAACAAACTCTTCAACTTTATAATATTAGTATAGATTTAAAACTACCAATAAAATTTGGATAAGTCTATGACATATTGCAGCTCCTTGGTATCAAGTGATTACTAGAAAAAATATCTCCAATTAAATAACTCCCCCCAAATAAGTGCACAAAGTTGTTGTCAATTTAGATAAATCTTTTCTTCCCATCATAAATGAGCCAGCTTACGTAAGTTTCTTGCTAGTTCAGTATATATGCCNGTATAGATTTAAAACTACCAATAAAATTTGGATAAGTCTATGACATATTGCAGCTCCTTGGTATCAAGTGATTACTAGAAAAAATATCTCCAATTAAATAACTCCCCCCAAATAAGTGCACAAAGTTGTTGTCAATTTAGATAAATCTTTTCTTCCCATCATAAATGAGCCAGCTTACGTAAGTTTCTTGCTAGTTCAGTATATATGCCCACAATACCTAACACCTAATGATTTTTTCTCAAAATAATAATACAATCTGAATGGTACCTCTTTCCTGGATCTAAGTTTTTTAATTTTCTTCTTTTTAGATTTCTTTTCTTCAATAATTGCCATAGAGAAGTTCAAATCAGCCAGATCATCTTCATAATTTTCGGCATATTCTTCATCACTATGTTCATTGTCAACTCCAGACACAGAAGTCCGAGAAAACATTACTTTCTTGGGTTTCCCATAGCTTTTTCGTTGTGGCTGGAAAATACATAAATTTTTTTTAGGTGTAATTCAGCATTATATTGAAAGTTGGACCAAATGAAAAATATAAAAGTGTTAAAGGATCAGTCGGTGATTATTGAATATAAATAGTAGATAGTACCATCATTTACAAGTAACTTAGCCACAATGGTCAATGGAAGTTCTTTAAAGATTTAAAAATACATACAATAATAATCCAGAACATTATTGGAATAGCTTCATTACTGACAACACAAATACCTTGTTGAAAGAATTATGTAAATAAGATATTGTTAGCAACCAATTGGTATGCTCTACATTTATTCCTACAGATTTGGCAAAGACAGAGATAAGTACCATTTTATCTTCTGCTTGTCGACTGTTGCACTTAACTTATGATAAAATTTAGGTTTATTAAATTCTTTTTTTTTGATAGACTTTTTGAGCACCATATGTTTAATTTTATTCTCTTTCTGCTCTCCTTAAATATGTGAAGTTTAAAAATTCTAAATGATACATTACTACTGTCTGCTTAAAAGGTACACAGTCCTTATTACAACATCGATTGAAAACCTTTAATTTGTATAATTACATTGAATAAGTAAAAAGAGCAATTTTAAAATATAGTCTGCTTGTAAAAACACACATTTTTTTAAATATTATTTTGTCAGAGTTTACTCCATTCCATACTATACATTCCATACTATAACATGTTACGCTGTTTTAAAAAAATAGGTTATTAAAATAGTTTAAATCAGATTGCCTTCATATTTCTTCCTTCTATATTAAAAAGAGCTTATTACCTTCAGATGATGAACAACATCAAAATCTTCAAATAAGTGTACTGATTCATTATCATCATTGCCACCATCAGTTGCTTCCACAACAGTCTGAGGATTCTCTACAATGCCCTTTTCTGAAAACACAGGAGCTTCTTCTGCTGATTTCAACTCTTCTGCATTTCTTCTCTTCACTGCATCAGAGCTAGCTATGGTGTTGGATTTAGCATGCAATGCAGCTCTCAGTGTACCTCTTATACAATTGATGTCTTGAAGAACGGCCCTAGATCTTGGACGTAAAGCTGTCACTCTATTATTTTGAATTACTTTAATGGGAGACACATTTTCTTGGTCCTGTTCATCTGTGTCATCAAACCCAAAATATGTTCTATCTTTATCTTTATTTTGCTTTCTTGATGATTTTCCTTTCAGTTTATTTTCCTTCTCCTTATTCCTATTACTGTTTTCTTTATTACTCAAATTTGTTATGGTTTTTAATGGTGATGCGACAACCTCTATACTTTGTGGTGTACTTTGTACATTTATCTCGGTATTTTTGGTTGGCGTTACAGCATTAAGGTTGACGCTAGTGCACATATTTGTATGTGAATTTATGGTTTCTTCAAACAGACTGTTTGCTTTTGTTGGAGACACAGATCTTCCACGTTTCTTTTTGGCACTCTTTTCTGCCATCTCTTTTATAAAGGATATAATGCTAGGCTGCTTCATAGCACTTGTATTTTTATCAAAGATCTGAGGTAAGCTCTCATTTGATTGAGGTACTATATTGGTGTAAACATGTTGTTTTGTATTTTCAGCTATAAATGAGCTTTCCACAGCTGGAGTCATGTTTGGTTTTATATATGTATTAATTTGCCATTTTATTGGTAAGCATCCAAATTCTACTCTCCATGGACTTGCTAGTGGATCCCTTGGGCTTGGAGCAGGATTTCTAATGGACTTTATCATGCTGCTGTTAGCTACTGGCTGATCATCAAAAAAACTCAATTCCTCTTGAAGATTTAAGGGATCCCTACTGTTTACTGTAGGTAAGCAATTATTGTCACTATTTCCTGATTCTCTTTGATTGGGACTTTTTTGATGCTCAGGAGAATAGACTGGAGAGTAATTTAAGTCATTGTGACCATCGCTCATCTCAAAATCAGCTGCTATATCCTCAATTCTCATTGAATTATAGTTTGTAAGTGCTGGTGTATTAATTTGATTACTAACAGACTTATTTGTGATTGTATTACCCAAAGTAGTAACTTCAGGTTGATTTTTATTCATATTTTTTTGACAATTGTTGTTCAGAAGATTAGTTATTTGCTGTTTTGTTTGTGGTGAAGGATGAACAGTATTTGTATTTTCTATACTTTTCCTGCATGCTTCATTATTTGCTGTTTGTTCATTGTCTGTAATGTGTCTTTGTTCATTATTTTGCTTTGATTTTGATGCAATCACACGTTTTAAGGTACACAAAGCTTTAGACACATTTTTGTCATAGTTGTTATTGTAAAAATATGCTTTTGGTGGTTTGGGCTTAATAGGTTTCTTTCGGACAGTTTTTTTCTTTTTTAATGGTGGTGGCTCTTCTTTAGGATCGTAAGTAAATTCATAAATATCATCAGCTTTTTCAGTGGCATCTTTTTCTGCATTTAAATTACCAATTTTGTTTGAATATATAGCTGAATTTTCCAGAGTTTTTGTTGATTTGTTTGCATTACGAGTTTTAGGTGCCTGCTCTAACCAAGATTTAATCCCCTTTGCTTGTTTTTTTTGTTGGGTAGCATTTACAGNCTCTTCTTTAGGATCGTAAGTAAATTCATAAATATCATCAGCTTTTTCAGTGGCATCTTTTTCTGCATTTAAATTACCAATTTTGTTTGAATATATAGCTGAATTTTCCAGAGTTTTTGTTGATTTGTTTGCATTACGAGTTTTAGGTGCCTGCTCTAACCAAGATTTAATCCCCTTTGCTTGTTTTTTTTGTTGGGTAGCATTTACAGTTAGTAAGCCTATTCTTGACGTTGATTCATCTTTTTTTACTTTCGTAATTTTCCGTTTAATAGTTTGCTTAACATTTCTTGATTTTTTGTTTGGAGACGCTTGTTTCAAAACCACTGTTGAAAGTCGTGGCAATTTATTCTGATTTTCATTTTGTTTATTTTTCCTCACTGTCCCACTTTTTTGTTTATCAGTAGATTTAATGGTCTCCTTGGTTTTCCACTCTTCACCAATTACCTTCTTAGCTTTGATTTGTCTTAATTTTCTCATTTCTTTCGTCAGTGTTATATTGTTAGTTGGATTTGTTTTCGGACTTTTATGAACATTTTGTGTGTTTGATCGTTCCTCTATAACGGACTGTTTTCGTTTCCTTGTCTTACGTTCTGAAGACATATTCAATATTATCCAATTGGTCTGCACAAACTATGTAACACAAGAATAATTAATATTGTTTACTTTTAAAAGAAAAAAAGAGTCATTTCTTGTCATTTGTTTGACGACGTTTAGTGGCGGGAAAGCTGTTTGACACCGCCACTAGATAGGCAAAGGAAGCCTAACCCATAGAGAAAAGTTAAAGATAGTTATATGGGTAACTGATCTAAGCTTCTTACTTGAAAATATTAGTCATAAGTTGATATCATTGTCAATCTGTTTTATTAGTGTTTTTGTCAATGTATCTAATGCAACGAAAACAATTTTTACTGTTAATTTTAGCTTATTAAAACCTTATTTATTAAAGGTTTTCTGTTATTACAGTAACCTATGTCGGGATTTAATGAAGTGAACTGAGATAGCCAAGTAGGTGTTTAATGAACTAAATCAAACAACCTCTCAGTAAAATGGTGGGTAGTACCTTGAATTCAGTGAACGTTTCAGAAGAGCTCGAGAAGTCGCGTCTTACGATTAAATTCCATTTCCCCAAGCTTATGCACTTTTAGAAATATTAAATGAATAATAACCCACCATTTTACACAATGTGTGTATGTGTGTATACACTAAAAGAAATGCCAAATTTACAAAATAAAATTATTTACTTATCTTGACACGGGGTGTTTCCGCCAAAGTCGGGGATAAGAGTGTTTCCTATATTCCACTCTTTAATCTTATATGAATCGAGTAATAAATACAGCTAGTGGAGTTTATTACTTTTTAAATAAAATTTATATTTTTTAAATTTATTATATTTATAATCTTTGTTTTGACATTTTAAAGAAATGCTATCAAAAAAATCTTTTAGAATTCCCCAAAATGTGGTATTTTTATCAATGTATGTAAGTATCTAGATAAGCTGTTCCGAAATAAGTTTTTATTTATGTAAATTCATACAATCTCACGCTCCTCAATTTGAGGGATCGCGGAATACTCTCACAGCATCTCATTTTTTTATTGCCCATGTTACCCATGGAGACTAATGAGTGGCAAGAAAGCTAAAATTAAGAAAATAGTACATCAAGTCGGCATCAACCACCTGCAATCAGAACTTCATAAGGTTTGACCTAATCGTATATCTCCAAACTGGAACTCGTCGAAAAGTTCGACGTGAACCTATTCCATAGCATTAGTCCACTGGGTCAAACTCATCTTCTTAGCAAATCGTGATTCTATTCAGTTATTTGCATTAGCGAAACATCTGCACTTGAGTCAGATCTCCTACGGAGGCACCCTGGGTGGCTATTAATAAATCCCACCCTTCTGGCAAGCTCGTACTCGGAAAACTATTCTGGAAAGCTGAAAAGGCCTCCAAGCCAAAAAATCTTTTTACAATATTTACTCATTATACCTATACCAATATTAATAATTTTTTTAATATTCTGAAACACATTAATAGTCAGAATGCAGTTTCAATAAATTTGCGTTATTGACATGTAAATTCAACCACATTTATTTTTAACTTAAAGATGCGATTTTGCTTTTGGGCTTTACTTGAACTCCCTACTTATACCAAAAGGGCTTACTCTAAGAGTTTACGGGGTTTACCTTTTTGGTTTACGGTATTTTTATGTTAAACGTTTGATGTACAGGCTTTGACTTCATGGCATGTAAAGAAAAAATAGAAACAAAGTTTTGATTGAAGAAAAATGGAAATTATTGAATAAATTCATTCAACAGGCAACATTGAAAATTTTAAATGTGTCGTTGACCGCAACCGTTCAAATTTGAAAGAATCTGAGATATATTTTCGTGTTTTTATTTCGAATTGGGAATAATTTATAAAAGAAGACAACACAATTATTTTTAAACGATCAGGTAAAGTGTGTGATGAAGATTGTAATATAAATTTTTATATCATTTCATATTGATAGCAACAGATTTTGAATATCGAATTTTCAAATAAAAAAATCAGTCGTGAATTTTTAACGTTGATTTTGACAAAACCCTAATTTGTTTCAGAAACAGAATGACATGACTGGTTCTCCTAAACAATAATATATGCACTCATACCCAACCACCAAGTTTCGTAACGGGCCATGTTAGCCCTACGTTTTTAATATCGTATTAATGTGAATACAAATCAATGAAAATGGTTGAAGATAAAACAATAGACACTGTTCAGGTAGCGCTGCGCATCAGACCTTTGATGCAACAGGAGACCGAAAGAGGCTGCGATGAGTGCATTGACGTGATACCTGGGGAGCAACAAGTGCAAATAAAAGACTTAGCTTTTACATACAATTACGTATTCGCGCAGCATATCACTCAAAGAGAATTTTATGACACTGCTGTGAAAGGACTAATAGGAAAGTTATTTCAAGGTATTTTTTGAAGACCCTCTATGGTCGTATACTATGCTTAGAATTTTGTAAATAATATATTCAGGGTAAAATATACTTTTAAAGTTTATCTGAATGTCTACTACTGTTTATGTAACTCCTGGTTGATGTCTCAAGATTGAGGCACGTGATGTCAACAGCATTTAGGGTTAAAATAAACCACATTTTGAAATTACAATACTACATTGCGGTAACCTTTGAGAATTTGGGACATGAAATGCTTAATGACAAAGTACACATAGACAAATATGTAATACAGAAGATACAATTGGGCAATTTGTCTGGACCAAGAAAAATATTAAATTAATTTAATGGAGAATTTAAATTATGTGTAACTTATACAATACTGTATGTTATTTGAATAATTAACAGCTTTCTCTTTCTAACTTACATAGGGTACAATGTAACAATACTGGCATATGGCCAAACAGGGTCAGGCAAAACTTATACCATGGGTACTAATTACTCTGGGTCAGATGGAGACTTCACTAAACTTGGTAAGTTGTTTTTTTTAAAGTTTAGACAGAAACTGATGCAGACGCAGCTAAACTTATGTTAAGTGCTTGCTCCTATCTATAGGTGTTCTATTGTCTTTGTAAAGTAATGATAATAAAGTAAGAGGAATTCCCATAATACTAGTGTTACTAAGTATTTTTTGGGGCATGATCTGCATGGCTTAATTTTAAAGGCAAGGGTGAAATGATGTAATTATTTCAGTTTCTGTGCATATTTAAATCGCAATATCTTTGTTTAATATATTTTCTTGATCTTTGATACTGTATTAGCTTTTCTAATATCTATAAGGCACAGTGACAAATTACAAGCAGGAATTTCGTGCTTGCATTACAAAGAAAATGAAGTAAAAAAATAACAACAAATATAATCAAACAAAGAATTTGTATTGTAGGAGTTATCCCGCAAGCAGTGGCAGACATCTTTGACTTTATTGAAACTCATGAAGACAAGTTCATATTCAAAGTGAATGTCTCTTTCATGGAGCTATACCAGGAGCAGTGCTACGACCTGTTGTCAGGGAAGGAGCGTGGACACAGTATTATCGAGATCAGAGAGGATATCAATAAAGGTGTAGTTTTGCCAGGTATGTTAGTAAACCACTGATTATTTAGATTGTTTCATTTAAAATTGCTAAATTTGCTGCTTTATTGAATGAGCGTGAGTGAGTAGGAATGTTTGTGGCAATAAGTGTATGGATTGAACATTCGAACCTAGCTTGGGTTGAACATTAGTTTCTTGCCAGAACTTCTCCTCAGTGGGTCACAATTCTGTTCCCCTGCAAAGCACTGCTCTTGCTAGGGCTAGTGTTAGCAACTACTGGGACAAGACTATTTGTCTTAGAGGAAGAAGAAGACTACGTTAGAAAGACATGTCCTTCTTCAAATGAGGCTTGTGGAGAGTATTAAGCGGTAGGCAGCGGCTTGGCTCTGCCCTTGGCATTGCTGAAGTCCATGGGCGACGGTAACCACTCACCATCAGGTGGGCCGTATGCTCGTCTGCTTACAAAGGCAATAAAATAAAATAAAAGACAACAAAACTATTGATAATATTGATCAGGAAGAAAAAAAACATGAATGCAAAATAGGTGCCTTGTTGATAATTTTCCATGATTTTCCTGGCTCCCTTTCAAGATTAAATACAAATGAAGAAAAAATAACTAAATAAAACTGTAGCCATAGGTGTAACATGATTCAATTACAGGTATAACCGAATTACCTGTGGCATCCACAATGGAGACAATGCTAGTATTAGAACGAGGGTCTGCTGGTCGTGTAACAGGATCGACAGCAATGAACCAAGCATCCAGTCGAAGTCATGCCGTTTTTACAATTATAATTTCTAAAGAGAGTCGGAGTGACAAGTGAGTTTAGATCTATTCTATCTTGATTATGTTAATAAACAGTACTATACATTTAAATTGTTAAACAAACAAATTTTCCTACATTTGCTTGCCTTAAATTTTTAACATTTATGATTACTAGGCTTATAAGCCTTATTGAACAATTATGAATAACCCATTTTGATAGCAAACATATAAACGAATGAATAAAACCCATCGCAGAGCAAAAAAGTGACTATGACATCTTTTAATCTTTCTGTCATCGAAATTCTCAGAAATATAGCAACAACATCTAAGTTTCATCTCGTCGATTTGGCTGGTTCAGAGCGCATAAAAAAGACAAAAGCTAGTGGAGAGCGGTTGAAAGAAGGTGTGAAGATCAATCAAGGTCTCCTTGCACTTGGCAACGTAATTTCCGCTCTCGGAGATGGAACCAATCGAAGTTACATCAGTTATAGAGATAGCAAGCTCACTAGGCTTCTTCAGGGTAAGCTTAAAAATATTTTTTCTTTTTTATCCACAACATAAATTTGTGAATACATGAAATCTACAATTAAACTATAGATTTTTCCTACCAAATATCCATGTTCTGTTAAGAATTTCAGTAGCTCTTTTGGTATAACATAAATAATCTCTCATCACTGCATTTCTTAGACACTTTAGAGCAATGTAGAGATATTTCAATTTTTATTCATATCGTCTAAGTTTGCTGCTTCATCCATGTACAGACAGTCTGGGAGGCAACTCGCTGACGCTGATGGTGGCGTGTGTGAGTCCGGCCGACTACAACCTAGACGAGACCGTGTCCACGCTGCGCTACGCCGACCGCGCTCGACGGATCCGGAACAAACCGGTCATCAACCAGGACGCTAAGGCCGCCGAGATCGTACGGTCTGTACTCTTGCATTGGCTTTTATTGTTATTGATCATTTTATAAACCCATATGTCCTTTTTAAGGAGTTTTTGCACCAAATTCTAACTTTAAACATGCATGAAGTACAAGTAACAAGTACATTTTAGAAAATTAATAGCAAATTCCTATGTTAACAGGTTAAACAATTTAGTCAACGAACTCCGACTGCAGCTTTTAGGCAAATTGCCAACTGTTAATGAACAAAATAATGAAAAACTGCAAGAGGAGTTAGAAAGGGAACGATCTAGATATGCAGAGCTGTTGAAGAAACATAAACAAGTCACTGAACATCTTGGCAACATGTTGATTGAGAACACAAATTTATGCGAAAAAGCACTTTTAGCTGAAGCAGCCAAGGACAAAATAGAACGCAAACTGAACGAGCTCACGGAACAGTGCAATCAGACTATTGAAAATCTTAACATGACTGATAAATCTGATGATGAACATCAGAAGACATCGGTAGTCGATTATTTGAAAGAAATTAAGACTAGGCTTGAAGACTTGCAGTCTGTCAACTTGAAGAACAATGAAGAATTAATTGATCATGAAATCAAGCTATCGTTTGTCAAAGATGACAATGATAATGAGAAAGTTGATGAAGATGTCGTATTAAATGAGGATCAGGCAGTTTTGGAAGAAGAGAAAAGGGCAATGGGACAGGTAAACTGTTCATCATATTAATTTGAAGTATATTTCTTGAAATTAAGTACACTGGTCTTGCTTATTTCTGACGTAAAGCATTCATGTGTTTGATGAGTAAGGTATCTGTTATTTCCAAACCAATCTTATTTAGTTACTGATTGTAAGCTGTTAGTTAATCTTATTTAGCTACTGACTGTAAGCTGTTAGTTAATCTTATTTAGCTACTGACTGTAAGCTGTTAGTTAATCTTATTTAGCTACTGACTGTAAGCTGTTAGTTACTCATTTATAATTCAAAAAATGTCAACAGGTGGCACTAAATCAAGAATTACAAGAATTAAACCGTGCCATGGCCATTAAGGCGTCAGTAGTACAAGCAATATTAGCCAACAATAAAGAAATGCTGGACTCCCATCATAATTTACGTGAAAACGAGGAAAAGATCTCGCACCTAGAGAAAGAACGAGATGAGTTACTTCAGCAATTGAAACAGACTAAGGTAAAAATTTATTTTATAATTTAGATATTGTTTTGGTTGTATTAAGTAAAAGTTCTTATCCATCTTCTAGCCATAAGCAATCTTATTTTATTCGACGATTATGTAAAAGAGAGAGAGATGAGATGTAGGCTATAAAGCCTGTACCGATATGTACTGCCACCCTGGCTTTTTAAATTTTTTTCTATAAAACTAAGACTTAGAATTCATGTCTCAGGGTGGGGCGCGGCATTTACGTCTTGATGCCTATGGGCTCCGATACCCATTATACACCAGGCGGGCTGCAAGCTCGTCCATTGATCCATCCAATAAAAAAGACATGATAATTTGTTCTAGTATTGCTTTCGTGGGTAGATACAGAGCACAGCTCACCTGGAACCGGTATCTCTCACTCATGTTCAACAGACAAGCATTGCTTATACAAGTATCACGGCCCTGTGCTGTGTGTAAAACATTGGTTCGAGAAACGTATTAATAAGTTAGAAGGGAACTTTAAGACCCTACTATTTAATTGTTGACTTTCCATATAATTTTTAAAAATCATAATCATATACATACATAATCTTTATTTTGTATAGAGTTGCTTTGTTTAGTTTTATTATTTTAAATTTAATACAATTTTTAAACGTGAAACAAATAAAAGTGTGTGTGTCCGCTCCGACGCACGACTGGAGTTTACTGGATATAAAAAATTAAACGAAACAATACGAGAAATAGTTCTATATTACGACAACACGATACACTACAGATTATTAACAAATTAACGAGACACAAAACAAACGACTAACAAATATATGAAAATACAATAATGAGAGAAACGCGCGATCAGTACGAGGCTTTGTGGCGGACTGCCGGCGCAGCAGCCCGGCGTCACCTGCGATAACGCGGCCGCGCGTTGGCTCCTGATTGGCGCGCGCACGCATCACGCAATCAGGAGCCAATCAGGCGCATAACGCATTTCGTGTGACATGCTAGTACGATTTTGGTCCCCATAATTTTCATACCCCGGGCCTATATATGTAAATCGATTCTAAAGGAGTAAACTCCAAAAATTTTAAGAGCAAAGATCCATCGCACGAAGAGAGACGCACGAAAGTATCGACCCTCGAATCCGAGATATCTGAACTGAAGAAGAGATGCCAGCAGCAAGCCAACATCATCAAGATGAAAGAGAAAAACGAAGCTAAGATAGCCTCACTCAATGCTGAACTGCAAGCTATGAAAGTTACTAAGGTAGGGTATTTCATAAAATGACTATACCAACAATAAAAAAATCAAGAATGAATTTATATAAGGGATTAAACAATTAAAATGACAATTTTATCACCTTCTGTGAAATGTTAATGATTTATGTTCTAAATCTTATTATTTGACCAGTTGTTCATGTTAAAGTAAACTCAAAAGACAAACATTTTTTGTTTATTGCTTAGTTGGGTGGACGAGCCCATAGCCTACCTGGTGTTAAATGGTTACTGGAGTCAATATACATCTGCGACGTAAATGCGCCACCCACCTTGACATATAAGTTCTAGGGTCTTAAGTATGGTTACAAGTATGTGATATAATAGTCAGGTGTTAATCTATGTTTAAGTCGCCGTTAATTTTGGCCCCAAATTACGTCATTTTAATCTGTACTTCGTATAATTTGCGCGACAATTTCAAAAAATAAGAGCCGTTTTTCGGTTTTCCGTTATGTTTTTTGTACTCTTAGTAATGTTTTTTGATGGTAATGTTTCAGGTTAAAATAATAAAACAAATGCGCGAAGAAAGCGAAAAGTTCCGTAAGTGGAAGGCGGACAACGAGCGCGCGCTGCTGCGGCTCAGGAACGAGGATCGGAAGCGCGCCACCGCCATGGCCAAGATGGAGACTCTGCACGCTAAACAACAGAACGTACTCAAACGGAAGATGGAAGAGGCTGTCGCAGTTAATAGGAGACTTAAGGTAAGACTTAAGGTTTTTACTGGCGGTAGGACCTATTGCGAGTCCGTACGGGTGGGTATAACCACCCTGCCTATTTCTGCTGAGAAGCTGCAATGCGTTTCGGCTTGAAGGGTGAGGCAGCCGTTGTAACTATACTGAGACCTTAGAACTTATATCTCAAGGTGGGTGGCGCATTTACGTTGTAGATGTCTATGGGCTCCAGTAACCACTTAACACCAGGTGGGCCGTGAGCTCGTCTACCCAATTAAGCAATAAATAAATAACAATGTTGTTTATTGACAGGAAGCACTGGATCGTCAGAAGACGACCGCAATGAAGCGCAGCGCTAAAGGCAACGTGAAGGCGGGCGCCGTGCAGCAGTACATCGAACAAGAACTCGAAGTTCATCTCAGTATTGTTGAAGCCGAGAAGTCCTTGGAAGAACTCATGGAGTACAGGTAACCTTGTTAGAACCGAACTATAACATACGATCATAGTTCACATCCATATATATATATATATATTAATAAGTGAAGGAAAAATGTTGTATCTCTTTTTATGAAAATTGTTGAGAATATAGAGAAGGTTGTATGCTAATTTTTGTTTTAAATTATGCCTTAAAAATACATTAAATCAATAAAACAACCGTCATAATTATAAAATGTAGTGCATTTTTAAAAAAACTTTATTTTAATATACACTGAATTTATTTATCATCATCAACATATGATGTAGTAACATGAGGAATTAAGTATGTTAATTAGTAACAATGATTTAGAGCTTAAGGACTAAGAGTTAGAGTACATTATGTGCTCATGAGAATCGATATATGACTTGGGTACTAGTGTGAGGGACATAACATAACAAGTGGTTATTTACGGTTATTTAAATAGGAAAGAGGTTTTTCATTTGTCAAGAAAAGGCTGTAGTTTGATTTAAATATCAACTATCAATTAAGACAAAAACAACAGTCACTATTGCATATAGCATTTCTGACAAAGAACGATGTAATCTATATATTAATACGTGAAGCAAAAATTTTGTATCCCTTTTTACGAAAATTACGCGGACGGAGGAGTATGAAATTTTCCACACTTATAGAGAATATAGAGAAGAAGTGCACAATGCGAATATTTTTTTAAAATAATGCATAAAAGATACATTAAATCAATAAAAAAACATTACACACACTACCATGTATTTGACGCACACACGCATGCATACTATTTATTTATTGTCAAACTTTTGTTCTTGACGTTGTGGTCAAATTGAAAATAGATTAAATATTGTTTATCTTTATTAATATTTTTTCTATAGTTGTAGTCTTGGCGAAATTTGTGATTATAGAATATGACAATTGAATCCTAATAGTGTACAAACTTATAATTTTAATTAAATAAAGTCGAATTTCGACTACCGGGGGACCACTAGTACTAATAAATCATCTTTTCTCTTTAAAAGTGTACAATTTCCAAAAATATTCGAAATTGAGTTAATATGCGGAATCATTTCCACCAGTATTTTTCTCATAAATACTGTCAAAACAGCGTAGATTAGTTAGGTTTTTTTTTTTTAGTTTACATATGTTTTGGCACTATTAACAAAATTGATACATAATTTTATCTTACTTTAAAATACAGATAATATAACTGGTAAAAAATAAAAAGGAAATGTTGCAAAGATGATTAATATTAAAAATATCACATGTTAATAAACCTTTAAAACACTCTCCTGTAAAATTAGTAAGTTTTGAGGTTTTACAGTTTTAATGTGAGAAAACGAAATGTTATTGAGTATACAAGCTTAATGTGCAACCAGGGCATGGATCACGGAACAAATCGAGAGTCTTCGCAACAGTACAGACTCGGAGGTCAACAAAAAGAAAATTGCTGAACTTGAGGATGACCTTGCTCTGCGTAAGGCTCAGATATCAGATTTGCAGCAGAAGATATTGACAGCAGATCAAGGTAAGGCATTATCAATAGTCATTATTTGTGGGCAGCGGCTTGGCTGTGCGGTGGGTATTGCTGATGTTGATGGTTGATGGTGACCACTCATCATCTGATGGTCAGTCTGACAATTGAAACTTCGGCCTCATGCCTGCTCAGGTAACATCTAAAGCTAATCTGTCCACATATAGATAAGCAAATGAAAATATCTAATATATTATAATAGAACATAATATAATAGGATAAGACGTCCGGTGCTTACGTGTTGGGCGATGCACCGGTCTTCGAATCTCAGGTAGGTACCTATTTTTGTAATGAAATACGTACTTAACATATGTTCACGACTGATTTCCACGGTGAAGGAATAACACGAGTATTAAAAATCGAACGCACAAAATTAAAATTTGCGTAAAATTACTGGTGGTAGGACTTCTTGTGAGTCCGCAGGTACCACCACCCTGCCTATTGCTGCCGTGAAGCAGTAATGCGTTTCAAATATAAAAAAAAAAATTTTTTTTTTCAGAAAATAAATCACGCACCCAATGGGACAACATACAGTCCATGCTCGAAGCGAAGGTCGCTCTCAAATGTCTATTCGAGTTGCTGGTCGACGCCAAGAGAGAGCTGCAGAACCAGAGCGAGAAGGGCTACCAGGCGCGTTACGAGGAGGTCAAGGAGGCTCACGACCGGCTGGCCGTCGAGTTCGACAACAGCAAGGCGGAATTCGAAAGGCAGCTGATGAATGTCAAGAAACAGAGCGAACAAAAGGTAATTCGGTAGTTGGTAGTTCGGTAGGCAGCGGCTTGGCTCTGCCCCTGGCATTGCTGAAGTCCATGGGCGACGGTAACCACTCACCATCAGGTGGGCCGTATGCTCGTCTGCCTACAAGGGCAATAAAAAAAAAGCCTCTTGGTCCGAAATAAAAAAAAAAAAACAAAGGACTGTCTGATTTCAACAATTGAAATTTGTTGAATTTACAAAAAAATTCGTGTTGTAAAGTCTGTACTTCATAATGACAGTCAAGCACATTGTCAAGAGATTGCCAGAGCAATATCACATTCGCTTTGTGAATAGGCAGGTGCCTATCTGCCCGGACCTTTATTGTGTTATATCGAATAATAACTACCCCAACCTTCAACAAGGAACCGCTACCACTACTCTTTTAATCTTGATTGCAATGTTTGTACGGAACCCGAGCAGCTGACGGCGCTACTGGCGCTGCAGCGCGGCGTGGTGCGCGGCGACAAGGGCGAGGCCTGCAAGCATCTGCACAACGTCATACAGGCGCAGCAGGACAAGCTCGAGCAAGTTGAAGATGAAAACGTGAGTTTTATCAAGGCAATTTCGACCTTATGACGCAAAGCGTTGTCTCTATAGGCTTCGGCTACTACTTAATGTCACGTAGTGCTGAAACTATTCATTCTAATCTTTAGATAGCGTCTCTTAATAAAAGTCACATTATAGGGTGAACTTAACCCTTTATATGCGACATAGCACACAGCACATAAGCTATTGAAGCCAACAGTTTGGGACAGCAGACATCAAACCCTTTTACAATTATATTATGTTGTAAAAGGGGTAGTTATATATTTAAAAAAAATGCTTTTAGGAAACGCTTGAAGAGCTGCTAGAAATGGCAACCCTTAAGCATTGACCAAATAATAAAGTTTTAAAATATGAAGATGATTTCGCTATCTAATTCTAGTCTAAAAAAATAGCATTGCAGCAGCACTATTTTTTATACCCCTATTAAGTAAATGAGTAAAATGTGAGGTAACCTAATCCTATAATTTGCAGAAAAAACTGATGGAAGAATTAGAAGAGCTACGTGCGGCCGGCAAACGCGCCAAGAAACGATCGTCGAAGAAGGAGTCCTCGGGCGAGGTCAAGAAACAGGAGTACACCGAGCTCACTGATGAGGACGACGACGAGTTTGAGGACAGAGACAAGGACCCAGACTGGAGGGCCACGCCTCTGTTCAAACGGATACAGGTACGGGCCGTACTCTTGAGCGCCCCCACCCACAGACATTGTCTATGGATCGTCTCGACAGACTTTGGACAATTTGTGGTTACTGCGGAATATCAACTATAACTTTTTATATTATGTAATGTTTTAAAAATACATAACTAGGAGGTTGGAGTAATTTTTGGTATTGTTACGCGCTGGGATTCGGGATAAATAAAAATGCCACCGATGTATAAATTAACACTGAATTAGCACTTAGAACACTTAAAAAACTTCACAAACACTTTAAAATTCTCAATTCGCTTGTTCCGCTTCCCTTCAGGTGATCCCTTCGCTATTTCGCTTCAAGTAGTTCTGATTACTGACTGACTGCGTGCCATCCCTGCAACGCTTTAATAGCCGATATCACATCCCTAGAATTACCGAGAATATTACACACATTTCCAGTATTCTGTTTCCGCTGTCTGACAATAGATGGTGTTGTACTTCTCGAGCGTTCTAGATGCTACTAGATCTTTCGATATTATTTCGAGAGTACTTACCGGCGTAACAGTATGAAAACTGTAATTTCTAAAATATCATATAGGAAGTTTATGTTTATGTTACGTAGTTTAAGGATAAAAAACTATGGAGAGTAGACAGAAGTGAGGAGCATCATTTCAGTGTATTAAAAAGTTTTCGCTGAAAGCGTAGCCATTTAAGGTGGCGTCATGATAGCAAGTGGAAAGATTTTATAAAACAGCGACATAAACTACCACATCATCATCACTTGGATCACCTACAAACATTAGGGCGAAGCTGAAATATCCTTTCAAGGCTATCAGCATAGGTAGGAAAAAAAAAAAAAAAAAAAAGAGGAGCGCGCAGTGCGTGCGCCGGAAGGAGTACAGCGGCGCGGGGTCGCGGTTTTACACCTTTGACACTTCGTGCAGCAACGCCACCCGCGGCATTTGCTTGTCACTTCTTTTATACATTAACCAAATATTACACCTATCGTATTATTACAGTCCACTCTTTTATTTTGTAACACCGGTCTACCCCAGAGCAGTCGAAAACATAGACTTAATACCATTTTTCAAAAACGTTAACACCCCCATGTTGACCTGCAGGCGCAACGTTCCCGGCTCACGATGAACTTCAGCATGGCGGCGGAGGGCGCGACGGGGGGCGCGGCGGAGGGTGCGGCGGAGGGCGCGGGGCGGGCCGTGAAGCGCGGCAGCGACGGCAGCCCGCACTGCACGTGCCGCGGCAGCTGCGCCACCAAGATGTGCGGCTGCGTCAAGAGCGAGCGCGCCTGCCGCCCCGCCTGCCGCTGCCAGCACGCGCTCTGCCGCAACCGCCGCGCCGCGCCCGCCTCCGACTCCGACGACAAGGAGAACAACGTGAGCAACCACCTCACTCAATTGTCTTAATGAACCTCCACCGAACAATGGTCACATAAATCGGCGGCCCCTACGTACAAAGCGTCATATCACAAATGATGGTTTACAGGAGATCGTTTTAAATCTCCTATGTGACATTTTGGGCCAAAATGATGTTTTCATATATTATGAAAGTTATTTTGAATACCTATACTCAGCAAAAACTCCCATGTGCATATCTCAATATTCCACTTTATTAAGCGTCAATCTTAAAAAATCCTAAGTGTCAGTGTGCACTTTATTGTAGATCAAAGTGTGCTAAAAAAATATTTGAATTATTTTTTTCAGGAGGTAGTTTTGTTAGACTTTCTCGAAAACTACATTTATACACATAGAAGATTTCAAATTTGCAAGGACGATAAAGTGATTGACTAATTGATATGAATGCGAATTAAAAAAGTTATTTTGTTTCAGCCGTCGAGCACGGAAATATCACTGGACACGACACCGCCCTCGTATTTTGATAAACGGTAAGATTTCAATCTCCTCTTCCTCCTCCGTGCCAGACTTACAAGTCTTCCGAAGCTCAAACGTAACTGCGGCGTGGAAATAAACAAACCACTATATGCTTTACTGTGCAATATATGTAAACTAATGCCACACAGAGCTCACTTTAGTTTGGAGGGTAGTCTTAACTTTGGTATCACAAAAGAGAACTATGAATACGTCATCCAATCGAGTTCTTAGATTCGAAACGTCGCAAGAGCTAAACGCGACTGAGGAACTGGAAGAGCAGAAGAAGTCTATTCGTCCGAAATCGGAACGTGCTAAGAAATCGAAGGGGACCACGCAGAAGTGGATGATGGGGTTACTGTTGTACAACACGTGCCTCGCCCCGCTGTCCGGGTACTGCGCCGACACGCTCCTGCAGTGCGGGCTCGACGTCGCCGCGTACGGCTGGGGGGCGCACGTCCTCAGACACGTGATCAGACAGGTTCCCAACCAGTACAGCTTGCAGACTATGCTCTTATTGTTCCCAACGAGTACAGCTTGCAGACTATGCTCTTATTGTTCCCAACGAGTACAGCTTGCAGACTATGCTCTTATTGTTCCCAACGAGTACAGCTTGCAGAATATTATCTTGTTGTTCCCAACAAGTACAGCTTGCAGACTATGCTCTTAATTTTCCCAATGAGTACAGCTTGCAGACTATGCTCTTATTGTTCCCAATGAGTACAGCTTGCAGACTATGCTCTTATTGTTCCCAATGAGTACAGCTTGCAGACTATGCTCTTATTGTTCCCAACGAGTACAGCTTGCAGACTATGCTCTTATTGTTCCCAACGAGTACAGCTTGCAGACTATGCTCTTATTGTTCCCAACGAGTACAGCTTGCAGACTATGCTCTTATCGTTCCCAACGAGTACAGCTTCTAGACTATGCTCTTTTTGTTCTCAACGAGTACAGCTTGCAGACTAAGCTCTTATCAAAAAAAAGGGGGAGGGGCAACCCACCCAAGACGTTCTATATAGCAAAATAATGAATATATTTCTCGTTTCCAAAGGACATATAAGAGGTATTCGTTTTACAAAAATCTCTCCGGAATTTGGCACATTTTTAAGAAGAACAACCCCGCTTAGCGCTCCACCCTCACAGTTTTTCATATCAGTAAGTGCATAGTTCTGCAAAGCTCTATACTGTAGATTGAATAATTAATGGAAAACAACGTACTGTATATAACGAGCGATTAGTTAATATGTTGCAATAATATTGTTGTACTATAGAAAAATATGATTGTTGAATATTGCAATAATAGATTTTTGGAATATTGCAATAATAATATTGTAATTGTATTATATTGGAATAATATGATTGTTGCATATTGCATTAATATGCTGTATATTGCAATAATATGTTTGTTGCTTACTTACAATAAATCTAATTCAATTAGACCACATAATGTTAGATTTTTAGCATAAACTAATTTTTGATTATTATCAGTTTGCTATGCAGAACTATGCCCGTTGTATAAGATGTATTGTAGTGCTTATTGTGATATGTTGAGTACAGGGTGTAGTCGAATCGTCATATTTGTAGTCGAAATGGGAATTGACTAGTAGTCGAGAGTAAACGGGAAATTGTTGTTTACTTAATAAATTAAGTATAGTGTTGGTTTATATATAAATGAGAAGGCAACAAGCACGTTTCCAATCTCAATTGTCGCTTATATATTATACCTTATATGGGTTTAGGGATTAATTGATGTGAACATTATAGCGTGATACCCCTTGAGGCATGAGGTCGCAGTCTCAATTGTATTGTATAACGGTCACAATAATCAAACTGGAAAGCAAAACTGTATTGCGGCAGAAATGAGTGGAGTGAACCACCATCGCCGTATTGACTGACGCGCGCTGGTGGATAGATTAATTTTAGCACGGACTCGGCCAGGAGGGTTGGGATTTGCTAACAGTAGTCCGAGCCTACCTAGCAACTCAAGAGTAACTGCTTCGCGAGGGCATCTACTGCCAGAACCAAATCGCGACCCGCTCTGAAGATCAGCGAGAATCTTTTTTTATTTTATTGCCCTTGCAAGCAGACGAGCATACGGCCCAATCTGATGGTGAGTGGTTACCGTCGCCCATGGACTTCAGCAATGCTAGGGTCAGAGCCAAGACGCTGCCTACACAATCTCAGCCTATAATCTCAGCGGTCTGATGTACCTATGGGTTTGGTTTCACGTTGAACTCTGTCGAGTCCGACGAGCAGTGTTACCGGGGTCTCTGAGCCTGTTCCTAGTGTTAGAGCTGAAGGCGTCTAATGATTGCTAGCGGATTGTATGGATCCGTAAGGACGGGTCATTTAGTACTATCATGTTTGATATCACCAACACTTGGTTCCTCGGTAAAGGTCACATCCTGTATGTGAGACAAGGAGTCTCATCTTCCGACCTTGGTACCTGAAGATATCGTAATATAACGAGGGATTTGGTTAAAGATATTTAAAAAAAATCATTGTTCGTTTTGTTGTTGCAGAAATCATCTTGACGCGACATTTGTTAAAAAAAAGAAGAGCTATTTCTTCCCACACGACCAGGCGAACGAGGACCACAGACCCGTTAAGGTGAGATTTTAGAAATAGGCCCATTAAAATTTATTTTAAAAATCATTATTATTTCATATTTATTATTGTGTCATTTTTTCCGTAGGTACACCCTGTATTTTATAAAATTTAATATTAAGTATGTGATTGTCAGTGCCGATAGACATCTATTGTGTAAATGTGTGTGCGAACATTCTCGAGACACGACTGCTAAGTTTCAGTTTTACAGTACAACGGCTGTCGCAGCCTTCAATCGAAAACCATTACTGCTTCGCGGCAGAAATGCGTAGAGTGGTGGTACCTACCTGTGCGGGCTCGCAGGACGCCCTATCACCAATAAAATGTGGATATTACACAAATGTTATTACTGACGCTACGCCCATTTAAGTAATAAAATAATAATAATATAATAATACAGGTGACTCTCCTATAACACGGTATTTTACAACACGATAACGAAATTTTTGTTTAAAATTATTTAGAAAATGACTTTATATTGGAAAAACCGAAATTTTACTGCTTATTTTTATGTATAATAATAAAAAATATAGGCATAGTTGAGATGTTTTATTCGGAAAAAAAATCTCCTAGTCTTATATAACACGGTTTCGCACAACACGGGTCTATGTAGGAACGTATCTACCGTGTTATACGGAGAGTAATCGGTAATGCACTTTTATACATTGTCTATTTCCTCTGTTTTCAGACTGAATGAGCGATGCTCGCAATAGTAAAGACGAGAGTAGATCGGTGGGAAGGGGAACGCTCAAGAATTCCTGTATTTTAATTTTGTAATCTAAATTAAATGTACTATGTATTACTAATTTTTTTTTATTTGATTATTTATATTTTAGCTCGGAATGCCTCTCGTCTATAGTACCGAAGACTAACCTGCGTTTCGCTTTCGATTTGTCAAATGTAAATTTGAACCGAATCCTCTCTCATTTATTTATTTCTCTCTTAAAGGTATAGTACAAACACCAATGGAAATTAACCTTATAATTTATTTTGTAAGCCTTGAAAGAGCTGAAGTCTGTACTAGGTTCAAAGACCTGTATTATCATTATCTATTTACTTTTTTTTTGTCAACTACTTAATTTGGCAATGGATTTAAATTTGAACTGAATTCTGTCTCTTTATTTACTTTTTCAACTATTTATTGTTCTAAAATCCCATGGAAATGTATTTCACGGTTTCTAATTGGTTCAGTGTGAACGAGATGTTTCTACTACTATGAGTATTTTTTGATTTGCCCACGAATTTAATATAGACGTGTAAGCCTTATGATCGTATTAAAGTAAGCGGCTAATGATATTATATTTCAATGATAAATCAGTAGCTATTTTTTTTTAATCAGTAATATTTGACTGCTTGTGTTCTGGCAACACTGTTCTGTCATTTATTTGACAGAAGATGATTTATGGTTGTACTTGCCCATAGATAATACGACTTGCCGCGTGAACAGTTCGTAAAGTGTAGGGAAGTGAAATAAATCCAGTGAGTTGTGATCTGGTTTCGTTTGCGGTCAGTTTGGGTCGCATTAGTTAGACGACGGTTAGTTTTTTGTACTGTAACTCGTTTACAATGGCGAATCCGGTCTAAGTAACATTGACATTTTATGCTTTATAAATTTGAGGAGTAGATCTCGGAATAAAGTTATATTTATAAATAATTGTTTTGTTGTTTTACTATTATAATTAAAATTTAATGTTTGGTAAATTTATTATAATCTTTAGGGTTCCATGATCGAATGTGAAAATAAATGGCAAATATTCATAGTCTACTAGTGGTAGGACCTCTTGAGTCCGCACGGGTAGGTATCACCACCCTGCCTATTTCTGCCGTGAAGCAGCAATGCGTTTCGGTTTGAAGGGTGGGGCAGCCGTTGTAACTATACTGAGACCTTAGAACTTATATCTCAAGGTGGGTGGCGCATTTACGTTGTAGATATCTATGGGCTCCAGTAACCACTGAACACCAGGTGGGCTGTGAGCTCGTCCATTCATGTAAGCAATAAAAAAAGTCTTGTTAATTTTTTCCCCCCTACCTATTCACTGGTATCTATCTTAAGGAGCTTCTTATACGATCGCAACGGGGCAACGGAAAGCCGCCGTCGCCCAAAGCATGTCTTGCCGGATCCTCCGGATTCACTCTCTAAGCTTTTGGGACCCTCGAGCACCGATCACCGTCCTCGTCGAATTCGTCGATAACGACCAAGAGTTCGACGAGCGAACTAACCCATAGACACAGCCCACTGAGTTCCTCGCCGAATCATAGCGGAAAGCCTCTAAGGTTACCAGCGAGTAGGTAGTAAAAAAAATAAAAATTAACGAGCTATTCCAGTTATCGCAAATGGGTAGAAGGTGAGCTCACAGACTTAACCTGAAAAAGTGAAGTCGTCGTGGCCTAAAGGATAAGACGTCCGGTGCATTCGCGTTGAAGCGATGCAACGGTGTTCGAATCGCGCAGGCAGGTACCAATTTTTCTAATGAAATACGTATTCAACAAATGTTCACGATTGACTTCCACGGTGAAGGAATAACATCGTGTAATAAAAATGAAACCCGCAAAATTATAATTTGCGTAATTACTGGTGGTAGGGCCACTTGTGAGTCCGCGCGGATAGGTACCACCGCCCTGCCTATTTCTGCCGTGAAGCAGTAATGCGTTTCGGTTTGAAGGGTGGGGCAGCCGTTGTAACTATACTGAGACTTTACAACTTGTATCTCAAGGTGGGTGGCGCGTCTACGTTGCAGATGTCTATGGGCTCAAGTAACCACTTAACATCAGGTGAGCTCGTCCACCCATCTAAGAAAAAAAAAGAAAAAAAAAAAAAAACCAAAGCAAGAGCAGTACTTCGCAGAATCTGCCGCCGAATCGGAATCGCGACCCACAGAGAAGATCCGGCGAGAAACTCAGTGGGCTGTATTTATAGAGTTGTCAATAAGATGATGTTTCTGCGTCGCTATTTCTTTTTTCAACACGTTTGTTGCAATTCAACATGTTATTTCGTCTTGTCTAGTCTTACGTATATTGAGATATGTTTATACACATTTCGATTGTAGCCAAATACGACAATATTGAAGCCAGCAAGGCAGAAGTATTTGTAAGCAATCTTTGATTTGATCTCAAATTGTTTGCTTTCAATTCGCGCATTTTTCCTTTCATTGTCCTCTGTTAAAGAATGTATATAATAGCGGATTCCGAAATGTGATAAAAAAATAGATCTGCACCTTATATATGTTTGCGATTTATTTGTTTTATGGAAAAATATTAGCGCTTAGGACGTGGTCGGGATAATCTCTGGGTCGGCGGGTAATCGCCATTGTGGTAATGTGAAACTCGATCATCAAGTATATCTTGTGAAGTAGAATGAAAGTGGGTAGCGTGCCGGCTACAATCTTACATCCGCGTACTTAGTGCGAGTTTTTTAACGTTCTCGATAGCGTAAGAGTTAACTCAAATTTGTATGGAGTTGGAACAGCCCTCCAAGCGACAAACGTAAGCAAACGTTCCGACTCCAACCAAATTTGAGTTAACTTTTACGCTATCGAGTAGTTAAAAAATACGTATTAAACACACTGATTTTTCAAGGGAGGTATTCACGATCTCTATAAGCTCTTGTAGCCCCCTATTACCAAAGTCTGTTCTTAGCACCTCCGCTGAAATTAAGAAGATATACACATAGGCCTAATCGTATTGTTTGAGTAGATTAAACTAGTTTTTTCGACCAATCTCACTTAGTTGCATACTAGAAACTCTCTTCATACATACTTTCAATATTAGTAACATCAATAAACTCGATCATCAAGTATATCTTGTGAAGTAGAATGAAAGTGGGTAGCGTGCCGGCTACAATCTTACATCCGCGTACTTAGTGCGAGTTTTTTAACGTTCTCGATAGCGTAAGAGTTAACTCAAATTTGTATGGTGTAACGTTTGCTTAAGCCCCACAGACACAGGTCACTGAGTTTCTCGCCGGATCTTCTCAATGGGTCGCGTTTCCAATCCGGTAGTAGATTCTGCGAAGCACGGCTCTTGCTAGGGTTCGTGTTAGCAACAACATCAGGTTTGAGCCCCGTGAGCTCACCTAGCCCGGTGATGCTGATATGGTCTCTCGAGACCATCAGCTTAGGTAAGGAAAAAAATTAAGTTTGCCACTATGAGCGCTGTTCCGACTGCATACAAATTTTGAGTTAACTTTTACGCTATCGAGAACGTTAAAAAACTCGCACTAAGCACACCGCCTGTGCTACCCATCTGGTGCAGGATTCAATAAAATTTCACCATCTCAATCCACGGCAAGGTCACGATAACGCAGTCAAACTAATAAAAGTGCCTTAGTAATCACAGCCCGAAAGGAATCTCACTAAACTACTACAACTAGAAACAAAAACCCGTGTGTGTTTTCTTAATAAACGTATTTTGTTTTTTTGTCGTAATTAACATTTATTTTAACACCGCAACAATATATCGTTCTAACGCATATATTACGTGTGAAGGTCAATTTTTTTTTTTACGCGAGTAGGTTGCACCTGCCTACTAATTTTATGATTCTGACGCGCCAAACCAAAAAAAAATACGTATACATCCTTATCATCTTGTACTCAAACGTTATAATACGTGTTATAGGTGTGTTAAACATTACACAGTTTTGTTATTAATAAACATATAAAGAAAAATACAAAAAACGAAAGAAAATCGACTTCAACAAAATGAGAATATTGATAATTTTGTCCAAGTCAACTAAATATTCATTATTATCCTTAATACTACTAATACTCCAAGACTAACTAACTGTTCATTGTCACTGTCAGATGTTCGTAAAATTTAAACAGCATTACATAAAAAATAACCGGTTTTGAAATAAAAAAGAATCATCCATAAACCCTATAAAAAAGGTCTGAGATAACACAAGAAATCGAATAGAGGTCTTCCTGTTTTGTTAAATTCTGTTAAAACAGTTTTTCCATTCAGATTTAGACAATAAATGTATTTTAAGAGATATGTATAGCTAATCTATCTGTTCATACTGCAAAACAGTACCTATTCGAATTAAATGTAGTTTTGAAAAATATAAAATATATCCGAAATACATCCGAAGTATATCCGACTAATTCCAATGGTTTTCTTTTATTGCTTTGATGTGTGGACGAGCTCACAGCCCACCTGGTGTTAAGTGGTTACTGGAGCCCATAGACATCTACAACGTAAATGCGCCACACACCTTGAGATATAGTTCTAAGGTCTCAGTATAGTCACAACGGCTGCCCCACCCTTCAAACCGAAACGCATTACTGCTTCACGGCAGAAATAGGCGGGGCGGTGGTACCTACCCGNATAGACATCTACAACGTAAATGCGCCACACACCTTGAGATATAGTTCTAAGGTCTCAGTATAGTCACAACGGCTGCCCCACCCTTCAAACCGAAACGCATTACTGCTTCACGGCAGAAATAGGCGGGGCGGTGGTACCTACCCGTGCGGACTCACAAGAGGTCCTACCACCAGTAAAAATGGTATATTATAGTTACATTTACTGATAGAATCTGCAATGTCTCGTAATTTAACTTCACACAACTCCATAGTGTGAAATTCTCGGCAAATTATGTCTGCTGACTTCGTTGCATGTTTCAGATGCCACTCTTATTCTCGACGCTCCTAAAAAAATTAACTTTAGTAAAAAGATCGCCCCAAACTTAAATTTAAAATTTGAACTTAACGACTTTAAGATAAGTCGCACATTCGTTCAAAAACCGAAACCTGAACAACAAATTGCCGAATCAATTAACGAAATTGCAGCTGACCACCATTTTATTTTCACTCGCTGTTAGAAAGCTTTTAAACTGCGTTCAGGTTTCCTATACACGGTTGTTATACAGTAAAATTTTATTACTATACAATATTTATTTTGAATATGTTATTGATATTTATATGGACAGTGCTTAAAGAGGTTTTTTTACTAAACAAAAACAAATTTATTGATCTGTATTGATTATATCTCAAACAGTATTTTTGAGTTATCGTATAGTTATGTATCTTTATTCCTCGTAGAAGAAATTTAGCTTAAGGTTCTATGAATGTGGAACATTGAACTTTAATTATAGCATCTCGCATATCTCTGCGTAGCATTCATACTTAAACCGTAGGATGGCCGTTATACCAATGACGTAACCGGTCAAAACATCAGGTGTACGCTAAATAAGCTCGTCTATAGTCATCTACGATTGACGAATAACGAAAAAAGCTACAAAACACATCCGAAGATCCCTAAGGTTCGGTTTTTTAAAAATGGAATACGACTAGAACGAATGATTCGAGGAAATAGTTTAAATCATTTTTTAAATAAATATTTAAACTAGATAAGCTTACAACAGCAATTTCTTCGGTTGCCAAGAGTCGTGTCGCAATTAAAGCTGCTTTTACAGCTTTATCTCGTGAAATCTCTAATGCATTCGAAACTTCTGAACCAATACAATGTCCAATAAAAAAACGCAAGATTAAACTATAAATTTAGTTTTAATTGAATCTATAATGTATGTTTAGGTTACCACACATTGATGCAGGTGGGGTCGGCACAGCTAATTTTTCTCTTCCTTTCTCTTCTATCAGCCGTCAGCTCAACACTCACTCCTCTCTCTCTCTTATATCGTCGTTCACACACTGCATTCATGTCTTCTTCGATCGACCTCTTCCCCCTCTGCACTACCATTTCCATACATCTCCCAGTAACATGCATCTTCTCTCTACGCATCACATGTCCATACCACGCTAACCGTCGGCTCTTTAAATTTGACGCAGTAATATCCAAAGCTATTAAATTCCTTGGGGCTCTCAATGTTACCTCAAGCACCGGTCATCTTTCTTGTCGAACCCGTCGCTTGCGACGAAGGGCTTGGCAAGTAAATTAACCCACAGACACAGCCCACTGAGTTTCTCGCCGGATCTTCTCAGTGGGTCGCGTTTCCGATCCGGTGGTGGATTCCGCAAAGCACGGCTCTTGCTAGGGTTCGTGTTAGCAACAACGTCAAGTTTGAGGCCCGCGAGCTCACCTACCAGTTCGGTGAATCTAGAATAACCCCTCGAGGTAACTAGAATAGGTAGGAAAGAAAAGGGCAGATAACTCACGTTAAATTACCCTAAAATACTAAAGCTACTTTATTCTTATAGGCTATAACTTAAAAAAAATTCATAACAGAACTGGAATGCCAAATATCATAACAGTACATTTTAAAAAAATTTTTTTTAAAGCATTAATGTCACGCTTCGTAAAGTTTCCTTCTAATGCCTATCTTTTACCCTGGAAAGCTCTACGTCTTACTATAAACAGCATTGTCTATTTGTTGTTAATAACCTAAGATTATTATTATTAGATATATATTATTAATATAAATTATATATATTAATTACTATCTCTTCTATCTCTAAAAACTCTAAAACCCTTCTGAAAATTCCCATATTCAATACAAAATGCAGACGATGTTTTATTTATTTGAGATGCTACTTTTAAATGAAAGAAAATCTGTAGATTCGGATTCGTTTTAGACCTCCACGGCAAAGGTGAAATTTCTTAAGTGATAATTTTTTTAATTACAATAAGGCTGAGACAAATTATAGCTTAATACTGATGTTACATGATGTTCTTAATAGATTATATTTTAATTGCTTAAATTAAAGTACATAAACTTAAACTAAATACCTGATACACGTTAAACCATAACATATTATGTACATGTACCTACCATATTTGTTGTCATCTATTCATTTACAAAATATAAAAATGCCATTTGGAAATTTGATTTTAGGTAATTTAGATCCGATTTTGGGTATTCGTGTTTTTCATTGTCTTATTTTATTACATTTTTGTAAAATTAAAGTCATTAATTTCAGTTTTTTTTTCAGTATGTACTCAATAGTGTCGTGTTAATTATGGAAACTTATTTGGTTTTTGTTTACCTATCTCCAATAATATAATATATGGATGTGCTATTAGTTTCCCAAATACATAAATAAATAAATAGATACCTATATTCCCGTCTTAAGAACCTCTAATTGGCTTGCTGTTGTTAGCTTAAGATATACGCTTCGTATTGTTTTCTATAAGTCTTCCCAACAAATAAAGCGTGTTGTGAGTGCGTACGGCTTGATACCTTATCTTTTTCTGGTACGTATCAATAACGAGGTACAGCTTTTAATTCAATTGTAACCTCGACCGTAACACTATGAGCATACGGTTGGGAATGCTACCGTTAATAATTCCAAATAATCCGCCGATCAACTTAGTATTTGCGTTAGTATTTGCCGTTAACTCATGCCCATATGATTATATGTTCATATGAAACCATCTGAGTCTCATGGTTTCATGATCAGACTGGTTGGACCATTAGAAGGCACCCACGTATGTTCTCTAAATTGTAATGCATGTTTATTAACTTGCAATAATTGCATTTTTCTATGGAATTTTCTATCTGTACTGTAATACATATCCGGAATCACACTTTTTTAATACGAAGCAGGGTCTTATAAGAAGTGTGCCAAGGTATCTATTGAGTATTGAGTCATGTAGCGCCTTGACCGATTCCGCGAGCAGATCCTGACTCCGAGGCGTCATCGCACGTTTTATTGCTCGGATGAAAGCATACGAATTTTACCCCTACTATTTGTTCGAATGCAGAATTCGTATATGCCCTATATATTTCTGCCGTGAAGCAGTAATGCGTTTCGGTTTGAAGCGTGGGGCAGCCGTTGTTACTATACTTGAGACCTTAGATCTTATATCTCAAGGTGAGTGGCGTGTTTNTCGAATGCAGAATTCGTATATGCCCTATATATTTCTGCCGTGAAGCAGTAATGCGTTTCGGTTTGAAGCGTGGGGCAGCCGTTGTTACTATACTTGAGACCTTAGATCTTATATCTCAAGGTGAGTGGCGTGTTTACGCTATAGATGTCTATGGGCTCCAGTAACCACTTAGCACCAGGTGGGCTGTGAGCTCGTCTACTCATCTAAGCAATAAAAAAACATCTTGTTTTTACCAATATACTTGGCCAGAGGAAATCGCGGCCTGTCTTGAGCTAATCGGTTTATGACAGTACATAGAAATAGCAACAAGACGCCACCACACATCTTGAGACCTTAGGTTAAAGTTCTTGGTATTGTAATGACGACAATCTCACCTTCAAACCGAAGCACGCGAAATATTCAGCGTCACGTGCTTAGTGTGAGTTTGTAACGTTCTCGATATCGTAAAAGTTAATTCAAATTTGTATGGAGTTGGAACGTTTGCCTACGTTTGCCGCTAGGGGCGTTGTTCCAACTGCATACAAATTTGAGTCAACTTTTACGCTATCGAGAACGTTAAAAAGCTCGCACTAAGCACACAGGAGTAAAACAGCCCGAACGCCCGCCTGGAACTCTTACTGAAATTAGAGGAGTAAGGTTGGGCAGAATAATAAGTTGACGATGCTACTTATTGATAATCGCAGAGGCAAACAAGACAACTCCGCCTATTATGACCGTTGTACTATAAAAAGTCAGACTTATTACTCAAGCCTCAAGGCAGGTGGCGGTATTTACGATCATGTACAGAGGTTCCGATAGCCACTGAGCACCAGGTAAGCCCTAGGATTGTCTAACCATCTAAGCAAAAAATTAACTGCTAGTGATGGATTATAATGTGATCATCATCATCATAGTCTGTTGCTTTTGGCAGAGCAGTTGTGGTCATGTGGAATTCTTGCTTATTAAAGCCTTGACAGATGTTTTCCATAGTTTGCGAACTGAGGCTTGGCGCACGCACTCGTTATGTGGGGTTTCAGTAAGGTCTTTCACCTGATGTGATAGCTTGCTACAATTTCTAGCTGTAAATTGGCAGAGGAGTTCAGTTTCAGCAGTTTATGGCTTACTGACTAAAATTGACTGAAATACTTTTGCATAGTGATTTGAGATATTTATTGTGATCGTAGAAGCTTTTTAGTATTCTTCGTTTTCTCATCTAATCATAATGTCCCCGTATTATGAATTTGTGCTCAGGAATTTGTATCTCATTAACCATCAAATGGATGTCATTTTCCGGTTTGAGTATCAGAAACGATGAGTCGTTCGAGCGTCTAAAATAACGGCCAGTCTGCTTTTGTGGAACAAGGTCACGGAATTAGCATCGAGAACTTGTAGTAGCGGGTCTATCGCGTTTCGCCACGACTCGAAGAAAGGCTGGAAGGCTCGCTTTCGTTGTTTACGGGGAGAAATCTCAGACCGGTCGCGCTCCCCGTAAGCGGTCAGCGCGCGCCAGTACCGCGTAACGTTCCGACTTATTCGCACGTGTTGCTCGTCACATATCAAAAAACTTCGTGTATAAAACAAACATCATAATACTTGAACCTTCCCGCTTCGTTGGATCGGCGCGTGTGCTGTGAAATATTTGTATTTTTTTGTTACAAAAGTGCCTTTACCTGTGTTTTTCTGCAGTCCACCGGTATGTTCACAGCTTAAACGTATTATAGCGGTATTATTTAGGGACGCCTCGGGCCGGTAGACGCCTCTCTCTCCGAAGAACCGGCACATCACAAACTTTCCACTGCTGGAGCCTCCAGCGATTTATATTCTAATGTTATGGTGTTGCGGTTTCGGTTGTGAATCGAAAGCGTGTGTCTGGCGTTAGAAATGTTTACAAATTTAACTACGTGCATTTAGTCCACAACGCTTACAGACGACGGGAATTGTTTGCTGGTTATCTTTGTTTAAATTTAGAAGCCTTTCGAAGTTAGATTAAGCAGCTCTACATCTACAATTTTTTTTTTTAATTTAACCAGGAAGTTTAAAATACTTTAAGTAAACTTATTTCAATGAAGAAATACGTCTACCATGTAGGTATTTTGATTTTCGAACAATTTAGTAAGAATTTAATTGATTTCCTATTGGATTTTAATTTCCAATAATTTAAAAATAAAAGCTTAGATTCGCTTATCTGTATAAGTTAGCGAACTTTTATTTATTTATTTATGCATATGACATTTTAATATCTCAAAAGAGTTTTGTGATGTACCTTAAAGCAAATTTAGAACAATTTCGTTTTAAAGCTCCATGGTTCAAAACGACTTGGCATATGTGTCTATATACACAAGCTTTATTAAACTAATCCTTGACAAATATGACAGTAGGGTTCAAAATAGCCGAATTTAAATTCAACATTTTGACAAACATAATTTATGTTCAAAAGCCGAAAGTCATCAAATGAATGAACTAAATGTTGTTTAGAAATTGAAAAAAAATATTTAATGGAGCGTTATACTGTCAATATTATCTGGATAAGCCACTAACCTATTGTAACTATACTGAGACCTTAGAACTTATATCTCAAGGTGGGTGGCGCATTTAGATTGTAGATGTCTATGGGCTCCGGTAACCACTTAACACCAGGTGGGCTGTGAGCTCGTCCACCTATCTAACCAATAAATAAAAAAACCGTCTCCATCCTTGAATGCACTTTACTGACTCCACTTTAGAAAAAAAAACTGTGGTAGGTGCGCAGTCTTAAGCATGCCATAGCTCGAATGAGCAATACGCATAACATTGAGGTACACGTCTAATACTAACTTATATTGGATAGCGGCTAACCTACTCTTCAAACCGGCAAGCATAACTGCGAAATAAAAAATATACATACCATACGATCCTAAAATACATCTACCACGGATAACCACGCATCTTTTACTGGTTTCTTACTTTGATCACATCAATTAAGGCTACAAAAGCTCCCGTTGATAAAAACAGCCATAGGGACCAATCTTTGTAACAACGCGTAGTGGTTGAAGCTTACGGTCTTTGTATTGATAGTCTTAAATCGATTTGGATAGTTGTTGCTTTTTTATTCCTTAGATGGATGGACGAACTCACAGCCCACCTGGTGTTATGTGGTTACTGGAGCCTATAGACGTCTACAACGTAAATGCGCCACCCACCTTGAGATATAAGTTCTAAGGTCTCAAGTATAGTTACAACGGCTGCCCCACACTTCAAACCGAAACGCATTACTGCTTCACGGCAGAAATAAGCAGGGTGGTGGTACCTACCCACGCGGACTCACAAGAGGTCCTACCACCAGTAAACACCACATATTACGTGAATCAAACTATTAGTATATCCCGGTGATTGGCGCTCTGATTGAAGAATACAAAATTACAATAATCTACAATTTATTAACACTAAATCTTGTACTGTGGTAAAGTGAATGCCTGTTAAAGATTTCTTAAAATTTCGATATATTTTTTTAGTTTTTTATTGTATACGAAAACAAATCGAATCGAATTAAAAAGTATTATATATAATATTAGAATTTTTTAGAAGAAAAATCGTGAATACGAAAATGTATTTTTAATTTTAAAACTAATAAATAAATGATGAGATTTTGTTTGCGAAACTAATGACATAATTAATAGTAGTTACAAAATACTATACGTTAGGTAGTGTTTTATTTATACAAATATAGTAATTACAAAATAATAGTAATTAATAAAATTAACAGTAATTGATCTATTAAATACCGATATATTAAGCATATAAATTTAGTTAATTTAATGAAGATATAATAGTTTAGTGGTTTTTTTAGAGAATGTGTCAATGAAAACCTTCTAAAATGCATACGTGTTCCTTCACACAATGCTTAAGAACGGTTCTAGTGATGCATTTTATTATAAACTCTTCGGGACTGCCTTAAGGATGTTCAAAAACAATAAAAATGTTTAGTTAACTTAATGCTGATCAATCCGTCTTACGATAATTGACGCTATCCGATGGAATGCAAAAGATATGAATTCTTTTGAATTTGCATTCCGAAACCAAACCCGGATTCTCAAAGCTATAAATACATCAATGGATCGACGCGAACATTTGATATATTCCTGTCACACACGTACATTGTAATGCGTAATGATCCGGGTAACTGTACCGAGCGAAGAAATAAGTCTGCAAAGAATTTTATATGTTTTATTTAATAATAATAATAGTAGCTGGGAGCACTGGTTACTGATGGTAGGACCTCTTGTAAGTCCGCACGGGTGGGCACCACCGCCCTACCTATTTCTGCCGTGAAGTAGTAATGCGTTTCGGTTTGAAGGGTGGGGCAGCCGTTGTAACTTACTTGAGACCTTAGAACTCATATTTCAAGGTGGGTGACGGCATTTACGTTGCAGATGTCTATGGGCTCCGGTAGCCATTTAACACCAGGTGGGCTGTGAGCTCGTCCATCCAACTAAGCAATAAAACGCACGGTAACCCGTCCCCAATTTAGGATGCCCTGTATTATGGGTGCCATAGACTGATAATACTTAGATGTGTTTAAATATATACATAACTAGCCGCACTCGCCCGCTTCGCTGCGCATTTAAAATTAACATTATTATTTATTATCATTCTTATTAGGGAGTCCAACACTCATATAAAATATTAGGCTATCCATTAAGTACATGTATTTTCTACATGGATACCAAGTTTCAAGCTAACCCAGGAAAACCACTGCAGATTTATATATTGGTATAGATAAAAACCTAGGCAAAAAGCAAATGAACTTGTTCATCGCATAATGTTTGCCCGACGTGGGAATCGAACCCACAACCCTGGGCGCAAGAGTCAGGACCGCTAACGACTGCGCCACTGGGTAAGTAAAGAACGATTCATCTATGATATGATTTCAGAGATTAACGAATGGAATAAGATCTCTTATAGTATTATATTCTACAAGAGTCGTAGACACAACAAAAACTGTTTTTACGGCTTATTAAAGGGTTTTTCAATGTCATTATATTATTTCCGACGTATCGAATACTTTAATAATATACGAATACTTTTCGTGGTCACGGATGATGAAGGTTTTACATTTGAATATTATGCTAATCTATACATATAAATAACATTTTTTACCATTTTTGTCTGTCTATCTGTCTGTCTGTTTGTTCCGGCTAATCTCTGGAACGGCTGGACCGATTTTGACGGGACTTTCACTGACAGGTAGTTGATTATAAGGAGTAACTTAGGCTAACTTTTTTTAAACTCACTTATAACCTAACTAAAAGAGGAAAGATTTGTTTGCCATGTTTGTTTGTATTGAATAGGCTCCGAAACTACTGAACCGATTTGAAAAATTCTTTCACTGTTTGGAAGCTACACTATTCCTGAGTGACATAGGGTATAATTTTTTTTTGAAAAAAAAATAGGGATCCTTACTAAAATCCTAATAATGTTACCCGAGGAGTAAAAAAGTTACCTAAAATATTCTTTACATCGCGTGCCCTGCGAAAACTATTGATGATAGAATAAAATAATGTACTACGACTTTGTAGAACACATCATTATTTATAAAAAGTGTCGCGACAGCATATGTCTAACTATTATAGTTATGCCGCAATAATGTGTTCTTTTATTTAAAAAAATAAAACAACGTCAAATATCGTTGAAATTTTTGTTAAAGACCCGAGCGGAGACGGAGCGGGCCGCTAGCTAATTAAAAAAACGCTTATGTTTATTTTGAATTTTTGTCCCTGTTCTAAATCTTATTAAGACGATTTTTAAGCATCAAAATTTATTAAGGTTTCCCGTCTTTTAAAAGAGAATTTACTAAAGAATTACATAAGTAATTGTGTTAGGTAAAATTGAATTTTTATTTTGATATGAATTAAAACGTAGCAAATTGTGTATGTGTATATATGCTAGTTTATTTAAGCACAGAACTGAACCCGCATCCAGATAACTTTAGTCATTCTGAGATTGGCAAAGCGATAAAACGTCTGTATGTATAAATTAGTATTTTTGTAAGCATTTATTATTTTTATCATGGTAAATGGCATGCTTCGCTGAATGCTGAATACATTTTCCATAATAAATATGAAAATGTGTTCGCTTAATAGTTATCATATAACTATGATTTTAAACGGACAGTTTTTGAACCAGAGAATCAAACAAAAACTCATTATTTTAAACGGACAGTTTTTGAACTAGAGAATGAAACAAACAGCTCTTTATCCCATTCCCGCGTAGATGTGTTGCGCCTTATATTATTTCCGGAAAATCAAGCACCTCTATTAATAAGATATGTATGGTATGTTTTATTCTAATACTTCTCTCCATTAAATTACGTGTTGATAATCAATATGCAGCCTGGACATGGTATTATGTGATGTGACTCAAAGCCTCCGCGTGCGAAATTTAAATTAGCATCATAGTATTCGCAAATACGTTATCCAACAATCATTATCTATCATCTATATATATAAAAATGAATTGCTGTTCGTTAAAACTCGAGAACGGCTGGACCGATTTGGCTAATTTTGTTCTTGAATTATTTGTGGAAGTCCAGAGAAGGCTTAAAAGGTAGATAAATATGAAAATGCTCGAAATTAAATAAAAATAACAATTTTGTTTTTCTTTTGATGTGTCCCCCATCGGACGGATTCTTTTTGTTTGTTTTAAGTTTATTTTATA